GTACTGTCTTTTCATTTTATGCAAGTTTTTGCAACAAGTTTTGTTATTTGGTACTTAGGAGAAAATGTGTAATTTGGGATTGCAAATAGGAAAAATATCAATAGTTCTTACAAACCCTGGTATTTCTGTAGCAACTGTTTTAGGTTAGGCTTGTTATCTTTTTCCTTCCACCATATCATTTCTTCAGAGTTTTATGCCAAGTATCAATTTTGCTGCTATAGTAATTGATTAAATTAATTGAAAGTTATCAATTTTGCTGCTATAATAATAAGAGTCTCTCCTGAGAGAGATTCACCCATGTTTATACACATCCTGACTAATCTGGTTTGATGCAGGGGAATAAATGAGAACAAAGTGATTGCCTGCCAGACTGTGGGCAGGAGCAGGTGCTGCTCAGGTGTTCAGATGGGTAATTAGGTGCTTGACTCTGCAATTCGAAGTTTGGATTCTGAATCGCTGCATTCGGAGATTGGCCGATATAATCCTCCTTTCAACATGCAAGGATTGCTGTTCCTCCCTATTGTCTCCCCAAACCCAATGTTATTGTAGGATTTATGAAGTAAAAAGCCATGAGTTTGTGATCTGCCCCAGAGTGACCTTCATCTCTAACTACCAGTCACTTGGTGGTTTCCCAGTATGATTTTTAGGGAGGGAAAACCCTTTTTATGAAGTTTCCCGTGTTTCTGGCACAACACTCAGAGTACTTTGACTACCAGATCCCTGTCTCTATGACTGCATTAGCATGTAGGCCTGAGTCTCTGATACAGTGTGAACCTTAGAGATCAAGAAGGTTGTTCATCTCTGTAGTCTTCTCAGTACCAGATTGCAACATATATAGTGGAATGCTGGAGATTATGGATGTGAATAATTGGATGTTGCATGTTCTTATGTCTGTGGTCCGAAGACACAAGTGTCCTTAGAGATAAATCACAAAGCAAGCTAACATTCAAAGTCTGATGTAGATACTGCAGACGATATGCTAATATTGTTCTCTGTATCACTGGAATAACATGGGCTGAAGGCAGCAGTACTGATGAGAGATTGCACAAAATATATGTAAAGAGCTGTCATTGAATTGTCTAACTTTATCAAATTCCATAGCCAGTAATCTTTAAATGTATATCTTAATTTTAATGTGTGCTTATGAAAATATTTTATAGGGATTTTTCCTGTTCCCTCTTACATGTTTAAGAAGGGAAGTACAGTAACTATCTAACCTATTTACTATCTGACTCTCATTTTCTAAATAGGAAAAGATAAGCAATAGGTGGAGTGCTGTCAAAACATAAATTTCTTTTTATTTATTGTTTGACTTTTATCCATGATAGTGGTTTTGGGTGCTACTTCTGACTCTGGAAGCATAATTTTCCAGCTGATATGGTCCTTGCTCTGTTATTTCAATAAACACATAAGAAACTGTATCTGTAGATCCCCATATGTTAAGGGAAAAAGATTTCTACTTCAAAAGGAATGGAACAAGCCTGTTAGAAATGTGCTTCATGTTCCTAGTTTACTAAGTTCAGCGCATACTTAAGTTCATGCACATACATTTGGCTAGAGTTTGTGCTATGTGTCTCTTGCCTGATAGTGCATGAGCTGCCAAGGACAGCACACCACTGCAGCCAGTGTGCAGATCGGCACCTGCATCTAACTCACAGTCTGAAGAAAAAGTTTTGCAAAATTACTTTCAGAGAATTGGCTTCTAAACTGATCAGATTACTGTTGCAATCTCTAGGACTCCTTGGAAACCTTTTATTTGTTAAGGAGAACATTTATTAAGAACATCTACATGGGTGGATTCAGATGACTGGAACATCAAAACCCTTAGGCCTTTCACATCAAATGAAGAAATAATATTTTCCCCTTTGGGGCTCAGTTTTTCCTTCATGCGCTCACCTTCAGAAGGAGATATGGAGCTGAGATTCCCTTTAGCTGCAGTCTAACTGGGAGAAAGAACTAGTTCTTTCAGTCAAATAATACGAAGATCTAAGTTATGAGGGTGTGATTCTGGTCAGAATAATAACCTTTTGTTTTAAATGTATAACCAAGTGTATACTTGTTGAAAACAAGTCATTAACTTCTTTTTCTGCAAGGGCCATTGGGAACTAGTCCAGCTTCCTGGAAAGGACTGATAGGGTTTTTCTTCTTTTGTTAACTGGGAGAGGTTTCCCATCTTCCTTACCACATCCAGGCAACCTGTTCTGGCCTGCTTTAGAAACTTGGGCCAGACTTGAAAAGACATCAGCTAGAGGCATTTTATAAGCTGGGCATACCTGGTCAGGTCTCGATATAATTGCTGAGGTGAATCACCTTTGTCCATTCTTAATGTAAGAAACAGATTTCTTTCCTTTTCACTTCTAGTGAAAGCAATGGATATCAAGCCTTATAATCTGTTCCTAGTAAATCAGATGGATGGTAGGAGGTCCAAATTCATATTTTGATTTAAAAATATATATATTTTTGGCCATTGCAATTTCATCATCTTGATGATCTTCGTCATCCTGATTATCTTAATTTTCGCATGGAGACTTTCTTGCATTGTTGAGTCTTTGAGGAAGAACACTGATAGTAGCAATGAATAATATTGCACATCCTAGATGATGTTTAAAAAAAAAGTAGATTTTACTGAGGAAGTTAGAGGTGGAGTAGAGCTTCTGGAATTCAAGCATATACTGGAAATAGAGAATCTGTATTTTAAAGTCGTGCATAGAATCAAACTTCTGTCCAAACAAATAAATGTCAGACATATTACAGAGATATGTTCAGTCTTTGGGAAAATTAAGCTTAAGATAAATGGGAACTTTGCACTGTTCTATAGTGATATCTGACACTATATGAGGCTCTAAACTGGAGACATAGCTGCTTATTAAGGGCAAGCAAAATGATAGGAATTATTTAAGGTGTTCTTAGGAAAGGAGGTTGCTGGCTATACTCGATCTCTAAAATGAAATTCTGTCTCTGCACGTAATCTTGTTTTTTGTCCTTGTAGAAAGCTGTATTTGGGCAGGGGGCAAATGTAACTTATACATTTTTTCTCACAGAAAAGTTTTGGTAATCCTTTTGTAAAGAACAAGTGTGGTATTTCTATTATTAAGTGATTGCAAAAACCAGGAAATGCGATCTTTATTTTTATTTTGTATATACCTACAGTAAGACACTTAAAATGCAAACCATTCTGTGAGCCTGTTTATAAGGCTTGAAGTTGCTTTTGTTTTGCTTAACCAAATGGCCGAAACACTGCCAAGAGTATGTCTGGAATGTTATTTACTTGGTCCATTTCTGAGGTTTTTCTTTGTAGCGCTGTACACATGCCACAGTTAGGGGTCATTTACTTAAAACTGACCAAAGTAATACCCCCAAAGCTGCAGTTATTCTTCTCAACAGGGGCCTTATAATAAAAGGGAGCAGCTTATCATGTTTTGCAGCTTCTGTGCTCACACTTCCCCCCCTTTCCTCTCTCCCTTTTCGTAAGCAGAATTGCTTTTGGCAAAGATTTGGAGAGCTGCTGTTTGTTCTTGCTTTGTTCTCCGTGACTCGATTCCTCTATTAGCTCTTTAATTCCTTACATTATCTCTTACCATGCCAACCACTTGAAATGTGTTAACTTACTTTGCAGGATTATTATTAATATTTTATAAGGAGATGGCTATGAAGTATGTTTTCCCTATCTAAGCCGGTATATTTTTACAGTCTTGGTTCCAGACATTCAACTAGTTGCAAGAAAGCTGTGGGTGTTTTAACATTTCCAGCGGAAGGGTAGGGCGGGTGGGGAAGCTCTCTGGAACGCTGACGACTAATATTTGACTCTTGGAAATGTCTTAAGGCCGTGTGCCCCCCTCCCACATGAAGAAGGCTAGACTCAGTGCTAAAGACCTGTGGTCTTGAAGGGATTACCCTTGTGCTTTCTTTCCCTTCTAACTGGCTGGAGTTGAGAAAACAGCTGAAATGCAGATTATGGAGGCTTAGGGTTAGTGCAGGAACGCTCCGCAGATGGTTTGTGCCCTTGAGAGTCCCATCTGTGGCACCCTTTAACCCCTTGCATGTTAGTCCTGGAGGGCCTAATTCTGCTATTCTTCTTACTTAGAGGTATTTCATTTCAGAAATTATGTAACTGCTGAAGAGTTAATGTCTAATCAGTATAAATACAGCAGAAATTGCCTTACAGCACAACATGAGTTTGGGCCTGCAGTAACTTGCAATTCAGTGCAAGCGTTTTCTGTAGCAGAGCAACTATTCATAGCAGTTTTTTCCTCCATTTTCTTTTCTTATTGCACTTAAGTTGCAGGGATTTTAATGCATTTATTGAGGGGTGGGAGGAGAGCAGAGGGAAAGCAGAGTAGATACAGATTGGATTGTTCTTGCTTGTTGTGAAACATAGACATTTACTGGGTATCTAGCTTTCATTTCACTTGTGTGCTTTTGGTAAAGGATGTTCTCCTTCCTCTGCATCTGCCGAAATGATTACCTCTTATCCTCAGATGTTATCTTTTTAGCTTGTTTTAAGTTGTAACAAGCGCATGTGCTTTACTATACGTGGCCTTTGCTGCTTTTTGGAGAGAGATTTATTTTCTTTATAAAATGTTTCTGCTGTATTTATTTCCAGCTTTGATCATTTAACTGATAAATGCCTGCTGCCTATATTCACACCTGCTCATCTTTTATTATCCTGTCTTAAATATAAATGCTTCTATTGAAATAAATCAGCCTTGTAATTTGAAAAATATAAAACTTTTGGTTTAAGTTACTTCTTACAGGTAATAGCTGTTTGATGGTTGAATACGAAGCAACTGCTTGGCAGAGTTTTAGTTTGAATCTCTGCCAACCAACAATAAAGTGCAACCTAATTCCTAAAAACATCTGAGCTATAAACTGTCATGACCTAGCATGCATACACTAATAACAGGTTGACAAGACTAACAAAATCTACGTATTATTATAGCCATGCATTGCATGTTGTAACAGTTCTATAATGTATTTTGTCCTTCATTTGTGTTGTGCAGCCCCCATATCATCTTCCTGTTGCAGAGTATATTACCTGGAGGGCGACACCTCTGTGGAGCACGTCTGTGCCATGAAATTGCTCGTGCTTGGTTTGGACTGGCCATTGGTGCTCATGACTGGATTGAAGAGAGGATAAGTGAAAGGTTTGCCACTTATTTAGAAGATATTTTTTGGGCCAGGGCTCAACAGGTAAGGTGACAATATGTCACTTCTCAATTGAGTCACGTGGGAATCAAAATTATATACCTTTCTGTCAATTAGTTTTAAATTAAACCTCTTGTGTTATGAAGCTAAGTCTTTCAAAATGGCACTGGAATTTGCATGCTAACTTGATTTAAAAAAAATACTTCTTCCTCCCCTATCCACAACAAATGCTGATCTTTACCAAGGTAAAGGTCAGTGCAAATAAGAATGGACACATCTGTTTGTCAATGATTACCTTCCCAAAAATGTACTACTCAAATATTACCATTTAGCTACCAGACAGTTGTTCGGCCTTCTTTCCACTTGTATTGTACTTCTGAACCTGAAATAATCAACAATGTCTTACTGAATATCATAATATTCCAGGCACACTGATGAAAATAATATCTGTTTGTCCTGTGGATAACCAAGAAGCATACCTCGAAACAAAACGGTAGCTGATGAATGGAGTGCCAATGCTTGCACCTTTTTCTTATACTGCCCAGCAAAAGTTACCCCCTTCTCAGAGGCTTAGAAATCATAGTCCATCTTAAAGTGTAAAGCTCATAAATTACATGTCAGATAGTGAAGTGGTTTTCTGATCTGATTCTTTTTTGTCGTACCTCTACTACTTCAAGCATTTTATGTGTTCGTTTCCTCCTGTACTTGTGTCAGGCCCTGATTCTCTTCTCCCCTCTGTCTTAAAGGGCACCATTTAAGTCAGTAGGGCTCCTTCTGTAGAAGAGCAGGTGGGACCGGGATTCGACATCATAAACTCTTCTGAGTTTCCATTTTGTAGAGTATGTGGCATATGTAGCACTGAATAAAATAGAATTTCTTGTTACTACATTTCTGGAGCAAGGAAGAGAGAAAGGCTGTCCAAACCCTTTGCTTCTTCCTTCTGGTCCTCAAACTCCTTTCTGCTCTTACCTTAAGCATTACTCCTCTGTTGTGAGCTGTTCACATTCATCCTACAGTTCTGTGAGTTGCTTGAAAGCATTTTCACTGTAGCAGATACCCTTCCATGTAGCTGAGTGGAAAGGAGTAAGCAACAAAACAGGCTATTATCCTTGTTAATTTATAAGGTCAGAAAATTTGTTACTGTTTTTTCTTTGTTTCTTTTTGGAATTATTGAGTAATTTTGGTGTTGTGTAATTGTGGGATTAGGAATATATTCCATACTGCAATTTCAGTTGTAACTGAAATATTAATTTAATGCAGGAGAATATTAGCTGTTTTTCCCTTCTCTGATCTCCCTTCTTTCCTCCCTCTTAATAAAAAAGTGCAAGTTAGTTGCTGATTTATAAGCTAACAACCTGGAATTTATCTCATAAGCATACATCTCTGTTAATATTGCTTTTATGGGGGAAAATCTGACAGGGAGCTTTTACCAGAGTAGCAGAAATAGTTGGAAAGAGGGGTAAAATCAGGACACAAAGCAGCTCTTTGCTTTCAAGGCTGGGAAGAGTAAAGATGCAGCCAGAACCAATATGCCAGGTATCTGTACTGCATGTTCAGTTCACTTATTGCCAGTCACCGAGGAGAAAACAACATGCCTATCTCTCTCCTCAGGCAGAAATATTTAACCAACTATTGATTTGATGTGCCCAGAGAGGTTCCTGTTTTCCTCAGTGCTGCTATTAACCCTTAGAGCAGCAGCCATAATGTTGTTGTTGTTGTTGTTGTTGTTGTTGTTGTTGTTGTTGTTGTTGTTGTTGTTGTTGTTGTTGTTGTTGTTGTTGTTGTTGTTGTTGTTGTTGTTGTTGTTGTTGTTGTTGTTGTTGTTGTTGTTGTTGTTGTTGTTGTTGTTGTTGTTGTTGTTGTTGTTGTTGTTGTTGTTGTTGTTGTTGTTGTTGTTGTTGTTGTTGTTGTTGTTGTTGTTGTTGGTAAAATGGCAGCAGTAATTGAAATCTTTACTTCACTGGTGATGACTCAGAGATGAGGTGCAGAACTCTGAAGAAGAGCTGCAAGTTTTATGGTAAAGATCTGATAGTGTAATATTTGCCTTTGCTTGTTCTCTCTCTCTCCTATTTTCCTCCATCTGTTTTATCCCTCTAAAGGACATGCATCCAAATCATCTGATTAAATCCACTGCATTTCCTTATTTCCTTCTGAAGAAAAAAGAAAAGTCAAATTAAATTGACCAGGTTGTTCATCTTCTGCATAATGTAATTGCTTTTCTGCTTGTCATAAAAAGCTTTCCAAAAAATGTGGGGTTTAGTTTGATATAAAATGTCCCTAAGCATTTTACAAGAGCTTCTATTCAGGAAAAGAGTAAGAGGCCATTTCCTGAACAAAGTTCACCGTTTGAAGCTATAACTTTCTTTTTTTTCTCTGACAATCACATACAGGAGTATGACATCTAATAACTGCCAAGCTGAATGAAGCTTTAAAAACAAAGGAAAATGCATAATGAACTATATAAATGTACTTTCTCCTTAGAAATGACTAATGCTATTTAAACAAGATTTTGTTCTTTACGTACCAGATGCTGAGCTCAAGGCTTCTTCTCACGTAGCTAAATACATTAGATCAAAAAAAGGGTCTTGCTTTGCCAATGATTTAATAATCTGGGCTGTTCTGATTGGTGTCTTGGGAATTTGCCATAGTCTTTTATCTTGAGGTATCTAGAGTGGTTGCCTAACATCTCCACTGCTTGTCTCTCCACAGTCTTTGACCAAGAAATTTGAGTTTGCTAATCCTAACTCCAATTAGCCCTACACTGACCAAATCACAAAGTGCAGGGACAGAGAGATTATTCAGACCATCCTCCTATCCTGCACAACATGCAGTATGCACAGACCATCTTAAACAGATTTTTACTAACTTGTTCTTAGAAACCTCCAGTTAAAGAGTTTGCACAGTATCTAGCTAAGTTGTTTTAATACCAACAGTTAAAAACTGGTTCCTAATATCCAGCTGAAATCTTGTTTATTTCAAGTTATGTAGATTTCTTCTTTTCTTTCACCAAGTGGCAGTGAAGAACAAATTGATCACCATCTTCTTTATAATCATCTTTTACATGTTTTCAGAAGACTGTTGTCATTCTATTCATTTTGAGGTCTTCTCTTCTTTATGTGCTTTCCCTCTAGGGCCTAAAAGCCTTTTATGTTTGGGTAGTAGGTACTGTTCGCCAACGTAGAAATTCTTCCCTATGGCTTCATGTCATCCAAAAATGTGTCATCAACTTTGTGTAACTGCAGTGTTTCATTGATCTGCTTTAATTCATGTTTACTGATGAATTGTGCGTCACACTTGTAAGCAGAGTCAGTCAAATTATACATTTGCAAGTGTGCAATTTGATGATAGGTATAAATATAAAAGCAAGCCTTATCACTAGCCGCCATACAGCTGCTGCCAACACAACTACTGATTGACAGAGTCTGAGATTTTTGTTTGTCTGTTTTTAAATAAATTTTAGCCTGGGAACATTGATTCTTGTGATAGGGGACTTATCTGGATGTTTGTTTTTCATTTTCAATATTATGGAATCACATGTGCCTTCTTTTACATTAATTATGTAGTTGTTACTTTTAATAAAATGTGTATGTGGTATAACTTTTAAAAATTGTTTTTCTAGTGCCAAAATATCATTTACAGTTTGAGATTCAAGAAGGGTCTATTTATCTTGAAATTGAAACTTAAGTTTTCTGCTAATTTCCACAGTTGGTAGACAGTATTTACCATGCCATGCTTGCCTTTTGCATAGTGATAGTCTCAGTGCAAATACAAAAGAATGATAAATCAGTTCTTGTTTGTAAAACTATGCCACTAATATGCACTTCAGAAGAGGAACTTGATGCCACAGGGGTTCTGTGAATCTGCCTCTGATTTCTCTGGTTTCCTGTGGTTGCATCTAAGGAGGACTTCCCACTGATTTCAGTCAAACATAAATGTTTTCTACCATTTCTGTGGCATGGACTTGATTTGGTTCTCTCTTTGCATATTCACTATTTTTCCTTTCTTCTCAAAGTATGTCAGTATGCTTTCCAGTGCTGGTATGTCAGAGAGAAAATTTCAGTCTTTGAATTGCACTGGATGTTGAGCCTGTACTGAGCCTTGTGCTGGTTCAGGCTTGTGTTTTTATATAAGGATATTAAAAGTAAATGATAGCCTTTCATTACTTTTGCCAGCCATGTCAGGAAGACAAAAATCAACCAACCTGCTCTTCCTTAGCGCAAACTCATTCTTCAACTACTTTTTTTTTTGTTTCCCACTGGAGAGTCATGTTTTTTTTTTCTGTGCTTTCTCCTGACAACAGGAAAACCCTGCCCACAATTTGACATTTGATCCTGTTAACTCTTGATCCAACAAATGAGTACCTATTCTGACTAGGTGAAAGCCACACACCAAACTGATCATCAGCATTATGTTTCTTATTATTATGGATATTCGATGCTATGACCATCTTATGTGCTACCCATGAAAAATGAAGTCAGATATGAAAGAAAATGATGAGTGTCTTTTCAGCACAAGCTGAAAGGCAGCACAAGCAATTCTTCAGTGTTGAAGAAAACTTATGGCACTGAATTGTAGTGCTCATGTAAGATAAGATTTCAGAGTCCTGTGTTTCTCACAGTTTGAAGCAAGCCTGCAGGCATAAAAGCACTTAAGAAATATGCCCTGGCACTCATTCTGCTGGCCAGCATCAACACCAGCTCTGTCATCCAGTCTCTCATGGTATCAAAACAAAGAAGTCCATTTGAGAAGTCCATTTTGTTCTCTGGAATGAAGCTGGCATTGGGATCATTCCTTGTGCACTGGCCCTTGTGATTCAACTTCTGTCTGTGAATTTTCACAAAGACAAACCAGTGTTGATACCTAATTCTAAATTTGTTCCTGAGTTCCACTGGAATCAAGTCAGTAATGTTTCCTTCCTGAAACAATGCTCTATGCCTGTCCTGTAAGTGCTTCAAGAGTTTTATTCTGTCATACTGATAGAAAGGTCTTTCAGACTGTCTCTTGTCTCTTCATAGCCTTTCATGACCACTTAGAGCATCAGACCACTTCATTAACAAGCATTTCCTAGTGAATTACAAAATGTACTTTCAGTCTGTGCACTTCTCAGCCTGGCAGATAAAAAGCAGTATATTCTGCTTCCTTCAGAAATATGCCACTGACTAAAATCTGCCAGGTAACAACTTGAATAACTTGAATCAGCTTGGCTTTAGCATTATGCTTAGCTTTATCTACTAGGTTAGATGCCAGGTTTGTAGGGCAGCAGAACAATCATTCAGTCTCTGGACCTGCAACGTGTTGTAAATATCACAGAATCACAGAATGGTTGAGGTTGGAAGGGACCTCTGGAGATCATCTAGTCCAATCTCCCTGCTCAAGCAGGGTCCTCTAGAGCACATTGCCCAGGATCGCATCAAGGCAGGTTTTCACCCTCCCTTCAGATGCTTGTACAAAATGGAGATCGCCTCTCAATCTTCTCTTCTCCAGGCTGAACAGGCCCAGCTCTCTCAGCCTTTCTTCATAGGAGAGATGCTCCAGTCCCCTCATCATCTTTGTAGCCCTCTGCTGGACTCTCTCCAGTAGTGCCATGTCTCTCCTGTACTGGGGAGCCCAGAATTGGACACAGGACTCCAGATATACAGTACTCCAAATATACTAAGCATTGCTTTAAATTAGCATGCTGAAGTATTGACAGCACCACACAGGGTAACTTTCTGAATGTTTACACTCTTTTACAGACATTGAGGGGTCTGTGGTGTGTGTGTGTGTATATATATGTGTATATATATATATCCTTTGCAAGAGGAAATCCCTCAGTACCATCCTCCAGATGGGATACTGCTTTCCAGTCATCTACTAGGATCTACACAGGCACTAAGCTGGAGGAGGAAGGAAGGAAGAATGATTGCCTATTTTAAAATAATTGTGATTCTGGGAGATGTTTCAGTTTAGTGTGGATCCTGTAACCTGTGCTCAAACTATGCTTTTCAAAGTCTACAGAACTGAGCTATTTATTATGAGAGAAACAAGGAGCAGTTTTGGTTGTCGTTTTTATACCCAGAGAACAACATGACAAGTCACGTATGAATTTCCAGCAGGCCTCACTTCCAGGAGACTAATCCAAATAGGAAATAAGTGCACCCTTATCTCCTACAGTGGATCTGTAATGGTTACAGTGTCTTGAAGAACCAGAGTTACCATAGGATAAGAAATCAATTATTCATCTCCTTTCATTGTTGAAAGGAGATCTTCCTAGAAAGAAAATCTGAGGTGTAGCATGGGAAAGGACTGTTAGGAACAGTGTAAAATTGAATCTGAATTTTCTTTTTCTATTTGATCTCAGTCATCTTTTATCTAGATTTTTCTATGTGAAGTGAATTTGATGTGCACGGGTCCTAAACATAGGGCTTAAGGGGAAAAAAATGGCTTGGCACTCTTGGTAAAACTACTAAGAAGCCATTACACACATACAAAGAAAGGAAGTATGTTTTCTGTGAAGCAGACCAAGATAGAGAAGAAGAAAAGAAATTTGATCACTGGAATTAGCTCATGAGCAGTGTGTGAGTGATACGGTTTGAAGAATCCTGCACTGCTGTGGTCTGTGTTGTCCCTATTCTGTAGAATTGGGGGAAAGGAGCTTTGGTTTCTGAGACTGGCCATTCGAAATCCACACTTAGAATCAGAGAGGTTGTTTTAGTCGCACAGGCTCCTAAGAAAGACTTTTGTTCTCCTCAGACCAGTTGGCTAGGATATTTTCTGGATGGAAGATAAAAAAAACTAGAGGACTCTTCAATACTGTGTCTGTGAAGACACTTCTTAAACAAAGAAAAAAATATTTGCATAGCTTCTCTTTCATTTCACTTTGTGCTTACAAGAGCCTAGGAGTCCTCTAGGCTTTACTGATGTAGATTTCTGACATACCAGATGTTTTGTTACATTTTAAAATCAGGCAGTCAATAATTAATTTTTTTTTCTAGACGTTATTACCTGTCTGAAATCCCCAAATCTGCCTGTGTGTGAAAGGCTCTCTCTTTTAAAACTTCAGTCGCTTTTCTTCCAACACGAAATGGCTAAATCAAGAACAGAAAATAATTTCATCTGCAGTGAATTACATGCAAGTGAAAGATGTTATTCTTGCAAGTGTAGTTGTGTGAACTGTTGTTAAGCCAGTGTTCAGGTGTAAGGAGAATCTCTAGTTGAACATAACGACTTCAATCTCCCTGTCCTGTCCTTTTTTGTTTGTTTGTTTCATTTTGTTTCTCTTTGTTCATAACGTTCAAAATTATTTAACTTAGAGTAGAGAAAAAGACTGAACTAGTGGCAGGTGTCTAGGCATACTATGCCATTGACAGTGCTTTCAACTGTAAGAGCATGTAATGTGTGAGTTATTTCTTTACTTTCTTATCCAAGACTTAATTAGTCTTCTATCATTTTAGGCCCAACAAAGAAAACAAAGGAGAAGCGAGGGAGTCTGGAGCATCTGTTGCCAAACATGGTCTTAAAGCAGAAAAAATCTTCATGCGGGTTCACTATTTGAAGGTGAGTGTTGTAAGCTGTTTCTTATTGGAATTGATTTGCTAATATTATAAAGACTTCTTTCTTTTAGACATCAGTTAATTCATAGCCTCTTCTTTGTTCTTGGCTTAATTTCTTGCAGGGTTACTTTCTTTTGCAGTCTCTGGCAAGGACAATAGGAGATGCTTCATACCTTGCATCATTACAAAAATTTGTCCGTAACTTCCACAGGCAGCTTGTCCTTTCTCAGGTACTCTGTTTCAGGTTGTTCCCACTTTTTGAAAAAACAAAAGAACTAAATTTTCTGTTTGACTATCTAAATCACTTATTTCGGTTATGGTGTGAAAAGAGAACAGCAATTGCAACTTGGCAATATTGATGAAATACCTACCTTCTAAGGGGCAGTACCTCTCTTCAGGGTGATATATAAATCTGACACTCTGCTTGTACCTGATATTGTAAGCAGTGGATGGAACTTTTTTGAAAGTATCAGCCCAATACTCTGAAAGGCCAATATTCACAGATGCTGATGTTTTCAAAGATATGGTCATTTACTATACTGGAGTTGTCTTCTGTACTCTCTTAACTCCCGAGTTTGGGTTGTGATCAGTCAGTCTTTTCCCAGATACTTCTCTTTCCGCTAGAAGAGAAACACAGAGTAGGAACGTAACTGAAAACTTCTATAAATAGTAACAGTGTGTACACATTGCTTTCTGACTTTATTTCCTTCCTCTCTACTTGCTGCTTCGTTCAGTTCTTAAAATTTCACAGTCTTTATTAACAGGACAGTGTCTTTCCCACCAGGTCAGTGTCCCATCACTGTAAGGCCTCGCACCCGCATTTGTTACAGTCTCATCACAGCCTCTGTATAGGTTTCCTCATCATGGTCCATACTCCCACTCTTTCTTTCTAAAACATTCTTCTGTCTCTCTTTCTTGCTGAAGAATTAATCCACAAGGGATATTTAAGATATGTTTCCTCTTTCTTTCAATAGACTTTCACTGCCAGTTATAATCCTGCAGTAGCAGCCCGCTCTTGAGAGCAATATTTCTCCTAGAACAGGATTTCTTCCTGGATTGGTGAAGGCTTGGCTTTAAAAAATAACATTGAATTAGGAATCAGAATCTACTCTCCCCAAGTCCAACTGGATATATTAATCACTTGAGCTACAGACTTAGCTTGTTCTCTTCCCGACACAAATGATGTATAATTATTTCACACAAAGTAGAACAGCTTCAGAAGGGAAGACTGAGGAAGCCATACCACAGAATACTGTAGCAACTGTTAGGGAAAGCATCCACCTGGGGTTATAAATAGAAGTTTACCTTCCCCCAGGCCTTTCTGAAGGAGACCTGTAACCACTGGTTATAGTATTAAAGGAGGGATTGTCTTGTCCTTCACTGTTTTGTTTTGAAAAGGGATGACATAACTCTGAACCTAAAGTTCTAGGAAACCTTGTAATTGGTGATGAATCCTGCTTATTCCCTGGCACTGCAGTTTGTTGCTTCTTTAGTGCTGCCAACACAACCATTTGTGGGGATGTCTGTGAACCAGATCACTGAAGTGACTGCAGTTAAAAACAGGCCTGGAACAAAAGGCACAATGTGACAAACAGTTGGCATAACTAGAAGATGGCAGTGTGGTGGGAGTGAGGGGCAGCAGAAGAGAGAAGAAAAGGGGTATGAGTGAATTCTTGAAGTCAGTTTCTTCACTGAAGACTCTCTTTTTGGAATTACGTTTTAAATTGTAGAGAGGTTTCAGGATGGTGAACATCAGAGAAGGGAGCTCAGATCTTGAGGAAATGGAGTCTAACTCACTCCTGTCTCTTCCAGCCACAGTGAGTCTTTGCTCAGTGTGCTGGCTGTTCTGGATCTCATCCTTAAAGACCTATCTGTCCCTGTGTATTTTACAAATAGCCCACAGACCTGTGGATTTGTTTGGATGTCAAGTCACCCAAAAGGGAGGCATAGTAGCTCTACTGCAGCAACTCTGGAGGAACGCTTAGGGTATTAAGAGAATTAATGTTTCCACTGCTGTAGCTGTTTCTTGTACCATGTCACCCAGACCCTGAGCAGTTATATTTGGCACACTGGAAAGTGCCAGTGACTATAGCAGCCTCATCTACACTAGGGTGCCCAAAATCATGAATATGAAGCTTCACTATTACACAGCTGGAAACTTTTTGAAAATTACAGAAATCCTGAAGTTGCCGAAAGCAAGAAGCAGCCCAGTGTTTTAATCTGCTTGTAAGAAAGGTGCTGATGTTTTTGTGAGGAAAAGGTTAGCTTGTTAGATCTCCTGGTTGACATGAAATCAGTTATATCAGTAGACTGCGTAAATACTACAATGTAGTAGTCCTAGCTAGAAGTCCTAGCATGTTATGCTATTAGTCACTGTAGCTAGATAGCACTGTAGTGGACCTGCTAATCTACTAGTGGTTTCTCCTTTTGCCCTGAATGCTGCTGTGAAATGTCAATTTGCAGACTAACTCTAGTCTCACAAGCTGAAATATTATATGCTGCTTCTGAGCTCAGAAACAACCAATTTTAGTAATTGAATAAAAATATGCTCAGTTTTTTTTATTTATTCAAGAAAGAATAAATTATGCTTTTATTTAAGGTTTCTTAGGCTACTTTTTACTTTAATATGTGCAATATGTGCATAGCTATGTGCTTAGCTTAGGTCAAAAATATATGCTTTCCTTCATTTGAAGATATTTGCTTTGTTGGAAAAAGTAGAGCTGCATGGTACATAATAAAAGCTATATAGTATACTGTGAAAGCATACTGATTGTGTGCCATAAATATTCTTACCTTGAGTGGGATGCTTTGAACTTTCCTAGATGGCTGTGCTTGAGAATCAGGTATAAATGGGTCACAAGGCCATAGTGATGCTTCTTGTGCTTTTGCCTTGTTTCATTGCGGCCTAAATCCACCTGCCATTGAAATTATTGGAAAGAGTCAATCTACAGAGTAGGCAACTGTGTATTAATAAATGCATGGCAAGACTGAAGTTTGGTCACTATCTTAAAGAAAAAAATGCACAGGGGATAGGATATATCTGACTGTAAATGTATTTACTTTCTCTGTAAGAAATCTTAACTTAAAGGTTATATTTGTGTAGGTATCTGCTATAGGTAGATAAGCAATCACAGTAGTAATTGGAAATGCAGAAGCAGTAAAGCAAAAAATAATGCATACCATTCATTATTCAAGTTCTTATTGAACAAACATTCTGTCAGTATTTAAATGAATACAAGATTTAAAATAAATAGAGGTACAAGTGGTAAGTTTAAATATTGTGGTGTTATACTTTCACCTTGTCCAAAATAATTGTAAAGGTTCTCAGCCTCAGAATTTGTGGTGAAGAGAGAAAGTAAAAACAATGAAAACAATTGCCCACATTCTGAATATTAGTCTACTATATCTTGAGATATCTCCAAAGCAACGAAGCTTATGTGACAAGGGAGAGTGTCATTGAATTCTTAACTCTTAAATTTTATAGATCTTCATTAAAAAGTGAAAGCAAACCTACAACAAAACAATACTATATTACACATCAGCAAGACTTACTACTGTTATCCCTGATGAGGCTTGCAAAAGGAAAGCTGGAAAAAGAAATCTACATTAAAAAAAAATCCATGTACCATGAAACAGAAAGTTCCATCATTCAATTAACTGTAGAGCTTATTTAAAAAAAAAAAAAACACGCAGCTTAGCAGTTCAAACTTCTGGTTCACCTAAGCACTTGGGCTGGCTTCACCCACGTGCAATTTGAAGATCACAGCATCCACTCTACTGTTAGCACTACTCAAACAGTGGAAAAACAAAAGTAGTGCTTCATTCTCTGCTCTTAACACATACTACCTCATTACCAACTTAAACAATAAACTATGTATATGTATATGTATAGGAATATATTTTTTTATTCAATCTCTGCTACTTGACTCTTTGCTCATGAGGAGCTATGGAAAGGTCATGGAACTCAACTCAAACACCTAAGCAATAAAAGAGTTACCCTTTGCCATGCGACAGGCACCACACAGGCAAGGGTGGGACTCCAGGATGGCACAGCCCAGCGAAGAGAGGCTCGCTCTGGGGTCTCCCCAGGCGTTAACGAACGCCGGGTGCGCCACGGCCGGCGCCACCACACTGCGGGGTCGCTGCGGCCTGGGGGCGCACCCTCCAACGACCCCGTGATTGACAAGTCCAGACGAAGGCGGAGTGACACCGCAGACCCACACCACAAACATCTCGGCGCTGTGGAGCCATTCCCCGCAGAACGACCCGTTCATGGGCGCATCGTTGCCAACGGAGCAGTGCTGCGGGCTGAGCACGAGGTCACCTGGGGATGCGCGCACTGCTATTGCCTAGAGCCGTACGGCTTTGGCATAGCTGGGGGCTGGCATGGTTCTGACCGGCTATAAAAGGGAGCAAGCCGCATACGTTTGCGTGCGCTCGGCCCCACCGTCAGCTGGCCTGCGGACCCGAGCGCCCGCCCGTCAGCGGGACGCCCCTGATGCCAACGGCGTGGTGAGGAGAAGCAATGAAGTAGGGCTAGAAATAGGCCTGGAGAAGTCAGCAGAGAGGAATGAAGCTAGAAGGAGCCCAGATGTGTTATAATCGTGTCTAATACAGATGACTTTTAAAAAGTCAGTTAATTGTGTCACATATTTTAATGTCCAAGAATATAGGTATATAGAAATCCAAGTATCTTTTGGTATCTCTTATCTCAAGTATAAAGATCTTAAAGAAGCAGTAAGTTTTACAAGTATAATTGCTTTATTTCAGGAAAGTGTCCTATATGTCTGAAAATGTCTTGGACCTTTCTGATACAGTACACAAATACTTCCCATAGCTGCCGAACTTACCAAGTTTTGAATTTCAGTCTTCAACTGTGAAATACTTTTTTGCTTTTCTACTTTGGTTATAGTAGTCTCTCACTTCTCTGTTGATCTGAAGTTTTCCTATTTGCTTAGCTTCCATTTAGCATCCTTCAGGCTGAAAATTTCATGGCAGCTTGTTATGCGGTTTAGTTTGATAGGAAAAAAGATTAGTTCTTCAATTAAATTCTGACCAGAGCAAACATGCTTTGGGAGTGCTCCCTCGTCTGTGGGTTTTATTAGTGCCTGCTGAATCATAGCTTCAGCTTTTGCTTTATTTAATGAGATGTATTTTAAATAATCATAGTCAAATGCATCTTCCATATGATTTTCTGCTGGATAATCTTAAATTGAAGTCCAAAGAATGATTGAGGGCTCTATCTAGAACCATTGGTATAAAACAGGCATAGTTCCTCATCTTTTTCTAATGTTTATATGTGTATTCTTATATGTTTATACATGTAAAATAGAAGAAATCTGTGTTTAATTCAAATTTTTAGGCAGTGATATATTTAGTATTGCTAATGGACAGTGAGAATCTGTGCATTTTCTGAAGAAATTAAAGCAATTCAGTTGAATCTGAGAAAATATAGACTCCAAGGTCAAAGTGTTCGGAGGAGGCATCTTCCAGCTGCATGCTTTCACTTCCCTGCCTGGGGTCTAGTTTGAACCTTCCCATCAATAAGGCAAGGAGGCATGCAAACACTTTTTCAGTAAATTAAGTCATAATCAACATACTTTTTCCAACTTATCTAGTCCAAGAATGGGCTTACCTGCTCTAAGGTGTTTTGACATGTAGGAAGTGGTAGATGTTATGTGTAAAGGACCTGGGGCTCTGACAGAAGCCCTCTTACAAATATAGATGGGGTAATTTAGGACTTGCTTCCCTTAGTTATTCATCCTATACCTAAGAGGACAAGTATACTGTCTTCAGCTGGAGCAGTTCAGTCTTGTATGTTAGCTTAGACTTATGATGAAAGTTGCTTTGTGCAAGTTGCTTTGGACTGTGAATTTGGGCAGCTCAGGCAGGAATACAGGGCAGTAACCTCAATCAGAGAAATGCAGAGAGAAAGGACATCCAGGGGCTGCTATCACCTTAAACGTCCACAGGAAAGTTTACCAGATGCTTGTCAGATCCTCTAGCATGCTATGTTTTCCTGGTTGCTGTGATTGTTGGTCATTTTGCTGTAGGGAATTGCCAGTAATCTGAGTGCAGTTCATTGGCAAGGGATAAAAGGGTAAAAAAATTTGTCTTTTAGATGGGGCTAGTCAGTGGCTCTGTAGCCAGGCTTTAAGCTGTTGTCCTGTCTGGCTACAGATTGCTGCCTGATAATAGAGCATAAAGCTGGGGAGTATAAAAATGCTCACTCTGATAGGAAGTTGTAGTCTTTGGAGGAGGATTCTGGGCTTGTTACCAAAACCGCATAAGAAAGATTTCAATATGTTGCTGATTTTGCTAAATAAAAAGCAGGAAGATGAATGGGGAGGGAATTCAAAATAATCAGGATCCTAGGAAGAGTGCTTATTTGTATTATACATACTTTTCCCCTCAAAGGGGATGAAGTAACATTTACCATTTAGTTAAGTTATTTACAAGCTGCGTAATTGACAGGGATAGTTTAACTTTGAGTCTGTAATTTCTGTAAGAAATTGGATGTAAATGCATTTGGAGTTCATTTGTTGCCAACTGAATGTCCTTTTAGATATATCACTTCTAGTCATGAAATCTCAATTTCTTCTATATAACCCCCATTCATATTCCAGTTAGAGTAGTTAAATGAAATTATGTATTGGTCATAGAGTACTTGAAATATGTTGATTTGAGTTTTTCCACAAACAAGAGGCTATCATCTGCCCTTTAATATTCCATGTTCCCTATTAATATCAACATGTGTGAACAGAGAGAGGTATCTGTCTGATTCCCCACAACAGTTCAAGATTAGAAACATCCTAGTGGTAGAGTCAGTAGTTCGCTACTGACATACAGAATAATGGTACAGAACTGCAAGTAATAGTATGAACTAAGGGAATTTCTCACTGCATCATCATGTCAGCAATACATTGTAATTGGACAGAGCCATCCTTACGTAGCTAGCACAGTTAATGATAGCAATCTTGCCACAGCAGCACTGAGCTCAGCACTGTGTAATTCACCTTTCTTCATAAGCAGATTTTACAGTCAATGTGACCTAGCCTGCACCTGGGTTATAATCTAAAGGAGAAAGACTTACAGTGTTACCAATAGTTTCAGTTTGTGCAGTCAGTCTTTCTTTGATTCCCTAACAAACAGTGCCATCATCAGATAGAGAAACAGCATATTTTGTTGAATGCCTTCACAGAGCCCCTATTTCCCCCCAAATAAAAGTTCTCTGCCTTTTAGAAAACGTTCTTCGAGACCTTAGAGAGAAAGTACTTGCAATCAGAAATCAGCCTGCACTCATACATTGCAGCAAGGAACATTATTAGGCTATGAAACTTGTCTCCACAAAGATTAGTATTAATAAAGTTGATATATTGCTCTATAAAATAACATATACATGGAGAATTCATATTAATAATTCCTCTTTCTATGCAGTTGTTGAGCGGAACAAAGCAGGTAGTGCATTGTGTCAAAGTGATTGTCATTAGAATTGGATCGTGTACAGCGTGGGGTGCCTTTGAATGACATCAGGTGTAACTTATAAAGAGGGCATATCATACTGTTACAAGTGAGGATGATAGTAATACTGTTCCACTGGCCTAGCACTTTCCTTCTAAATCCAGGAAAAAAATGTAGCTACTTTTTCTTTGAAGAATTTTACTCCATGGTTGATGTGGTTGGCAGCAACAGTATGACTTTTGTCAGGGAATGAGGAGTAGGTGTGGTCTTTAGATCAGGTTTGAGTCAAAAGGAAAAAAGCATGTGGTCATGCAATTATAGACAGTGTGATAACATAAGCACATTGGAGAGAACATAAAGGACAGCCTTAATTCTGGTGTTTCTTAGCTTGTGAATCTGCAGCCTTTAAGAGTGTTCTTTTAATATAGTTTGTGTGTGTATATTATAGATTAAATAAAAACATGAATGTAGGATTGTGTTAAAATAGCAGGCTTTTCAAGCCCATTTTCTTTCAATATTGACACTTTTTGCTTGAGTGGGTTGGAAAACTGACAAACACAATGTATGTTGTATAAATAATTGAGCAGCATAACACTATAGTGTATATATAACTTCTTCCTTACCATTCTGTAATCTGCAGTCCTTACAAATTCAATGCTGGTTCTGTAGACACAGAGGTATCTCTTGATAAATGTACTAAATGTAGTGCTTTGTTTGTTTTCCAGGATTTTCTTTACATGCTGTTTGAAGACATCCCTGAACAAAAAGAGTAAGTGAGAATCAGGCTAGAAAAGCTGAAGAAGAAAGTAGAAAACAGATCTAAATATCAGTTGTGCTAGCCAGAAATAGTGGTTGAGGTTCTCATTTAGTATTGTTCAGAGTATTGTTTTTAAATGCATGTGTATGCATGTATCTGTGTCTCTAATCTCTCTTTAAATTCTCCTACATATATACACACACGAGACTTGCTGAGTTGTCGCTATCCCATGCTCCCTGCCAGCAGTGCCTTTAACTCACATGTTAGTAAGGCAGTGGTGAGGTCCTGTTTGCTATGTGATCTGAAGTGCCAGGCCCAGCTGCTCAGCTTCATCTGTGATCCTCCCACCAGCTGCCACTGGCACATGGCACCCCAGAGCAGGGAGGCCAGAATGCTGCCCTGCATCTGGGAAGATGTGGAAGATGCTTTTTTGCGAGCATGAGTCCCTTACTGGCCCCTGCTTGTTGCACAGTTTGCCAGATGGGGAAAGATGGAAATCGCTAATGGAAATCCAGCGTTAAGTGCCTCACGTGCTCTTCAAAATCCTCCTGCATGTGATCGGCTAAAGATGATATGGCTAGTCTGTAATAGAGCTTTGAATTCACCCCTACTTATCTGTTGGCTTGCTCTGGACTACTGCAGACTACAAATACAGGTTCTCTTGGTAGCGGAGCTTGGCAGATAATAATTTCTTCAAATAGTTCATTTGCTGGAAAATACAGTTTGGGGGAGCAGGATTCCAGAACTCTTCATAAATTTGGGTGAATAGTTTTAGCTGAAAAAAAGGGGAGAGGAAATTCATAAAAGTCAAATGTATTGAGTTTTTTTAGTGAAACACTTTTATTTTTCATTTCAAAATACTTTCATTTGATTTTTTCCTTTCAAAATTATGTTTCTATTTAAAAGCATTAAAATGTCATAAGGAAGAAAAAATATTATTAAAAAAAAAGATTTTCTTTTCTTGAGAAAACTTCTTTCATTTTCAGTTGTTTCAAAAAAAAAGATTATCTCCAAATAGTCCCTTCAGCCAGCAAATAAGAAAATCATTTACTTGCAGCAGTTCCCCTGTGGAGAAAGAAGAGGTAATGTCCTTTTCTTCCTCACCATATTTATATAACCTGTACCAGTGTTAGTTGAGTGAAGGAAATAAAGGACATATCCTCTGCCAAATGTGCTCGTGCATGTGCACGTACACACACGCACGCACATAATAATACTAATAGCAAAGTCTGTCATCTTGACAGTTAAGAGATTTCTGCATACATTGGAGTAACTGAATTCATGCCTTCCACCAAAATGTGTGCATAGGGAAATACCCTGTAAAAAATGGGCAATTTGTAGTTGTGGACTCTTTAGAGTCTGCATAATTGTTTCATTCTTCTTACACTCCACAGTGATGGAAATAGAATTTTTAGCCATGGTTTAACTGTAATCCAGATGTAGTGAGCTACATAGTAACAATATCTCCCAGGACAGAACCAGGCCAGAAGAGATATTTTAAATTTAGTCCTATTCCATATCTTCAAGGTATAGATTTTTTTAAAAATGATAGCCTATAAGACTTGTGGCAGGGGAAGGGTGGCAGGGAAGCTAGTTATCATTGGGATAATGTGTTTTGTGGCATCATGAGTTTAGTTTGGGTGGTGGGTTTTTTTTCCAACGATATATCTTGGGGTGCTATTTTGTTTACATTATGGGATATGGGGTTCCAGCCCAAAAATAATCAGAAAAAGAAATGGAATATATGGGGAAGTGAATTATTTAATGACAGGAGTATATGTAGATTTGTTAATAAAATCTCCATTTTCCTTCCTTTTTTCATTTGTGTTTCTCCAAAACCTAAATCTAGTACAAAGTCTTATTTGAATAAAGCATCTGGTTTTCAGCCTAGGTATATGCCAAAGTATTTAAACTTTTAGTGAGACCACTGCAAAGGAAGTATGGCTCCATTTGATTTGCATCACCCTCTGGAATGTATTGACAAAATGTCAGATCTATGGTAATTTATTTTGCAACCAGACATATAGCATATCTGAACTTATCTACTGCCAAAATTACCTTGAGTGAGGATATCAACAGGAATGTCAAGAGTAATAGAACATCTGGACATACAGGAGGACTTTATTTCTTATCATCTGCCACAAAGATGCTTTTCCACTTTTGAGTGCACTCTGTTGTTATTATACAAATATTTGCCTGAGGAAAAAGCAAAAGGA